TTCCTCTTTTTTCTCTAGTCGTCAGGTGCTTATTGCATTTTTTTCACAACTAATTGCAGATATTTGTAATGTGGTTGGATTTCGTGACTTACTTGCATCACCATGGCCATGAAGACAAGCTCCCTTGGTACCGTGGAAAGGTATGCAAATTCTACTTCACCATATGTTTATAATCTCTTCTCATTTTGAGCCACTGTGTTCTCAGTGCTTCTCTGTCCTTTTACTCAAAACACAGGAATGGAGTTACCTGAGAGGAGGGCTCACAACACTGGATCGTGATTATGGATGGACTAACCAGTCCAGGCACTTATTAACCGGTTTTAGCTGCAGTTTGAAAGCTGGCGAAAGCAGGTGGTGCAAGGAGAGGGTTAAGCAGAAGCGCAGCTACTGCAGAGATGAATATAACCGTTCCAGTAGATAGTGTCTGCAAAGAAAAAACATATCTGAATCATATGAGGACAGGAGAAAAACACAACGCAACACACACAGACCTAAAAAGTTGAGAGAAGCGTTAACAACACACTTCCCTTATCAAAATAGTTACAAAGTCTCAACCTTTAAACCTATTTGAAATGAAATACAAAGTCTCAACCTGAGTTAAAGTTAAAAGGCAAAACTAACCGGAAGCTCATATGAAGGAAAGCAATATTCACATGTATGAATAAAACTTTAACCAACAATAGAAACAAATATCAAAGAGTGTCCTAGAGTCATGCTCCTAAACAGAAAATGAAATTCTTGGATCCTTCAACTATACATCTTTTATGATTGGTTCATCCTAACAAAAACTACCACATTACAACAACATTTCGTTTGTTCCTAAACCAAAACCAATCAGTTCATACCTTGCAAATAAAACACTTACATTTCAGGACCTTCTCACCATTTTCAGAATCCTAGGAACTTTATTCATCCCAGACTTAAACGAAGCATTCCCTCTTCCACCTCTCCCACCAGGCATCAACAACGCCCCCTGCCCCGGATACAACAACTCCAAAAGCACCTTCTTCTCCTCCTCCTCCTCCCCCTCCACCTCACTCCCATCTCAATGACCTTCTTGAGTGACTCTTCAAACTTGTCTTTCCCACATACAAGCAGGACTTTGGATGTTAGCAGTGAGAACAACAACTTCTGAGGCATGCCCAGTTCTCTCAATACTGAAATGTTCCTGATCTTGTTCTCCTGATGACAACCATGTGGCAGAAGAAAAGGACACAACTTCTTGAACTTGTAACTCTTGTCGGCTTCTATGATGTCTTTGACAAAATCATAGTATGTGCTCAAAGCTTTGTCTTTTTGGATCCCAATATCTTAGGAACTTTTGAGAGAACCTCAGTGAGCTCAAAGACTGAAGCTCCTCTTGACTTTAAAAACTGACGTTTGGGACCAAGAGAATCTGCTATTATA